GGCAATGAAATTTATGTCAATGTGCGAAAGAGGAATGTACAGACGAAATAAGTGACCTAAGTGTATTAGATGCGGCCGTGAAAAGGAAAGCGAGAAATTCCGAAGGCATTTCCACACTATTACTTAACATATTTTTAGTAAATATTTCAAATTACCGGAGGATGCACTGAGAGAAAAAAAATCATTGGCCCGAAGAAATGTTTCTTTAACCAGTGGCAATGAAGTTTTTGTCAATGCGCGAAAGAGGAATGTACAGACCAAATAAGTGAACTAAATGTATTAGATGTGACCGTGAAAAGGAAATATTTTATATATGTTTTTATATATATTTTTAATAAATATTTCAAATTACCGGCGAATGCACCGAGAGAATAAAAATCATTGATCCAAAGAAATTATATATACATACATATTTTGAGATATCACGTGAATATAGTTGTTAATCTAGGTGACATCGATGATGCAAGTGTTTAAAATTTATAGGAGCACTTGGAATAACAATGAATAGTGGACGTGTTAAATTTACAATAAATGCTCGAAACCTGAACACTTAGAAATATTTCTTCAAACCTGAACACTTGAAAATGTTTTCACGGTACCTTTTACAGTACTTCTTTAAATTTCATACATTTCTTCTGAATGTAACGTGCACACGATTCGTTATCATTTCGTGTGTAAATAATCCCCGTATCGACGAATTAATTAGTTCCTGCCTGTTCGTAGAATTCGCCGCGTAGAATTAAAAATAAAAATGTCGATGAAAAGTATTTGCAGAAATGAAAATAAAAGGAGGACAGCCTTTTAAGGAACTTAAATAGCCGTATCGTGGACATTACTAAAAACAACAGCCATGTTTATATATAAACTTTTTCCCGTAATAGGCCAAATTATCGCCTCGAAAAATATTTCTCTCGCTTCTTGTTCATTTATTCTGGTTTTTATTGGGTCGGTCTTTTTATCGTTCTTTCTAGGGTCACTAGGTCACGTGTTTCAGCGAATCGCGTAGTAAATCGGTAGCACGAAGTGGATGAATAGAGAAATCGCCAGCAAAGCCTCGATAAACCAAATGGTAGCCTGGGGAGCCAAGATAAAGAGGATAACTTGATAGTACACTTGGTGGGACTGTTTAGATACCGGCAATGTAACATTTCAGACCGCTATGTACATTGCGTGACCACTCGGCAATAATTCCAATAAACAAACGGCCATTGCTATGAAAAATGAAATTTTCATAACAACGATTAAACAGTAAATCCTTGTTAAATGGAGAACCAAGAATTTAGGACCTTTTTTCCCTACTTCTTCATTTCGGATATAGGAACATTTGATAATGTGTCTCGAATTTGATAAATAAATAAGTCGTTAACAAGAAGAATTAATCCTTCGACTGCAAAATGAGTATATACGTCCATAATTTCGGTCTACTATTGCTTGCTCGGAAGAGCTGATCAACTGCAATAAAACTTGTAATTAACATTTCAGAACAGTTTCACCGATTCTACAAATTTAGTTCGCCGTAGGAAAAACGCGTTTCCATTTCGGGGGTTCGTTTTGATAATATGAGAAAATAAAAAAAAACAACAAAAGAACGTTAGCCGCGAATTATCGGAGCGTTTTCGTTCCGGTCGGAAGAGCTGATCAACTGTGGACTCTGACGTGGTTTAACCCCTTAAGCATGAAATACCGGCGAGGGAAGTTGCACGCGAAATAAACCGAAGAAACTTATGCTCGGGAAATACTCGAGTTCGTGCTCCTTCCTCTGTGCTCGTTAATCCCGCCCCATGGCGTTCCCTCGGGATCTCGTTAATCCCGTCTTGGTGGTTAAAGCTCCTACGGATCAAATGTCCAACGAACAGGAGTACAACCTCGGCTGGTGTCTACGTATGTACGATCCGTGGTCTCCCGTGATGCGTAATAATCATACATATAACAAATAAAGACCTCCAATGCTTTCCTAGCCTCTAACATTTATTTTGACATGTACGAAGGCATCTATCCGCACCTAAAAGGATAGATGCCTTAGTTTAACCCTTCGGCTATTAAAAGCGCCTAAAGGCGTCCGACATTTGGTCCAAAATTGCTTGCACGGTCAGACGAATTTCGCCCATATGTCGAAATGACTCCGTCTTGAAAGAGTTAAAGTCCGGTCATTATATTTTATGTCATATATCATAAGTCATTATATTTTGTTATATATATTTTTTTTTAAACTTATATGTACAAGCTTTTATTTCCAATATTTTTTTCTTTTCTTCTGACAGACATTATTTACGTGATTTTTATTCGCGTAAAACGAATCTACGTGGAATGGATACTCCGCGTAAATTGAAGGACGCTTGTACCTGCGTTAACCATTAAAAACTATTTTTGTTAATTTCTATAAGTTTAAAGATAACTTGAAAACTGTTTCCGTTAACTTATCTAAGATTAAAAACACGATTTTTCAAACAAAATGATTATGATTTCATTTATTTTCCCTTAGGGCATTTATGCGTTCACCCCGAGGGGGGTAGATGTCCAAATCGGGACCTTTCATATTTTTGTCAATTTCTATAAGTTTAAAGATAACTCGAAAACTGTTTTCGTTAACTTTGCTAAGATTAAAAAGAGAACTTTTCCAACAAATTGATTATGATTTCATTTTTTTCCCCTTAGAGCATCTATCCTCCCCCCGAGGGGGATAGATGTCCAAATCAAGAACTTTAATATTCTCGTTCTATTATAACAACTATTAATCCTAGGCAAACAATTGAAGAATATAATGAAGATAAAATACTATGGTGTAACATGTACATGAAATTGTTTGGAAAGGGAGGGAAATAACGTCTTTAGAAGTACACGTTGAAAAGGTACGCGTTTGTCCGTACTTCACCCTACAAGAGATTTGTAAAGAATAAGGGGAATTTTTGCAGCTTATCAGGAGTCCTGATTAGACACTATCCAGATACAAAGGGAAGCCCTCGAGCTCTCGTTTAGTCGAGAAGACAATTCCGATGGCGTCGGTGTTTCCGGCGAGTACGAAATGTCAGCGTTAATCGTTTAACGAGGAAACTCTGGAAGAGTGACGCAGAAGATCCGAGGGAAACAATGAGAGAGATACCCCGTCGTCTTTTCCCGGCTTTTCCCGAAGTTCCGGTCTCACCCCCAACTGTCGCCGAGTTATGAGACGTTATTCGAATGCGGGGGACATTTTATTTAAATTTCCTACCTAGGAGAAAGAGGAACGCGGTCCACTTCCTCCGGCCGAGAAAGTTATGGCGTAACTCCCCTCTATTTGCGCTTATTTTTGCTTATCAAACCGCTTTCCAGAGGGGACTACGCCGCCACCATTTCTCACGACGCGCCGAAGTCCCCATTATCAAGATATTTACCCGAGGAAACTTCCGCGAGTACTTTTGGATTTTTGCGAAAACTCCACGGACGACAAAAAGTAGGATTATTAATTTTCCTTTGTTCTCCGGCGGGCTCCTAAAAAGACGCGCCAAGTTTCTTCGCCGATTCGAATTAAGGGGGTTTCTCCACCGTAAAATGTATTTTAAATAATGTTGGGTCTATTTGCGCTTATTTTTGCTTATCAAACCGCTTTCCAGAGGGGACTACGCCGCCACCATTTCTCACGACGCGCCGAAGTCCCCATTATCACGATATTTACCCGAGGAAACTTCCGCGAGTACTTTTGGATTTTTGCGAAAACTCCACGGACGACAAAAAGTAGGATTATTAATTTTCCTTTGTTCTCCGGCGGGCTCCTAAAAAGACGCGCCAAGTTTCTTCGCCGATTCGAATTAAGGGGGTTTCTCCACCGTAAAATGTATTTTAAATAATGTTGGGTCTATTTGCGCTTATTTTTGCTTATCAAACCGCTTTCCAGAGGGGACTACGCCGCCACCATTTCTCACGACGCGCCGAAGTCCCTATTATTAGGAAACTCGGTAGAGTTTCGCGCCAAATATATATATAGAGACGCGAAACTCAGACCTAGTCATTATCTGCGATGTTCAGCCTGGTCAAGATATTTACCCGAGAAAATTTCTGCGAGTACTTTTGGATTTTTGCGAAAACTCCACGGACGACAAAAAGTCGGATTATGATTTTTCCTTTGTTCTCCGGCGGGCTCCTAAAAAGACGCGCAATGTTTCTTCTCCGATTCGAATTAAGGGGTTGTCCACCGTGAAATGTAGTTTAAACAATGTTCGGTCAAAAGAGAATAAAATATTATATATGTTGCCAATCCAATATATAGGTTGACTCTTTCTTATCACCTTAAGGCCGAACGTCGCTTGTCACCTTAAGCTGATATGAAAAAGTCAGCCTATATACATCTAAGAAATCAAATCGACCCGCCATGTTGGTTCTAGTCCAAGATAAATAAATAAATTTTCTATGAAAAATGAAATTTCCGAGTTTCAAGACCTACTTTAGGGCCTCCATATTCACGTGGCAAAATTTAAAACAAATCGGTACACCCAATTTGGGGAATACCGTCACCAACAATTTGACCTCTCGGATGTATATAGGCTGACTCTTTCATATCACCTTAAGATCGAACGTCGCTTATCACCTTAAGCTGACATGAAAAAGTCAGCCTATATACATCTAAGAAATCAAATGTTGGATCTAGTCCGTGATAAATAAATAAATTTTCTATGAAAAATGAAATTTCCGAGTTTCAATTTGACCTCTCGGATGTATATAGGCTGACTCTTTCATATCACCATAAAGCCTTGCCTCGCTTGTTACCGAATCGCATTGTCGTTTCCCGAACGAAATCAAAGGCAATCGGCTCTCAAAGACGGAAATCGTTTCCAGGCATTTCCAAGTGAACAACCCCGTCGGAAAGTCATGAATCAGCCGGTTAATCGAACCGGGAAGAGAGCATGCACCGCCTCGAAACAAAGCCTCGGCATGCATTCATGCAGGGCACAAACGGAACTCGAAGCAATCCCCGGAACCGCGGAAGTTCCGGATAATGGCCTAAGTACGAGTACGCAAAGTTTTACCCATACTGATTCCAGAGCTGGACGGGTCCTCGTTCTTGGTGCCCCAGCTCCCGGCGAGATTCAGGGCGAGGAGGGGTCGCTCCTTCAGGAGCTCCGCGACGGAGGCCAGTCCCTCGCATCCGCAGCCCAGGTGGGGCAGATGCAGGGCCTGCACCTGCACGCAGTCGCGCAGGGCCTCGCAGACGCGCGACACTTGTTCACCCGACAGGTTCATGTCGAGGACGAGTCGCGACAGATGACTCGAGGCCTGACTCAGTCCACGGCATAGAGCGTTCACCACGCATTCGAGTCTGGAAACAGAAATGAACTGGACGTTGATATAGACATTCAAACGTAAATTTATAGATTATCGGTTCACGGTTTATATACAAGGAGAAAAATAAGAGTCTTGACGGTACAGCACGCATTCGAGTCTGGAAACAGAAATGAACTGGACGTTGATATAGACATTCAAACGTAAATTTATAAATTTTCGGTTCACGGTTTATATACAAGGAGAAAAATAAGAGTCTTGAAGGTATAGCAGCCTAGCTGATGGAAATCACAACACGGTTAAAGACTGTCCCATTAACCCTTTCAGGAGGGAGCTCTTTTGGCATATGGGCGAAATTCATGAACACGTGCTCGCAATATTCGACCAAACGTCGGACGTATGTATGCGGCGGTAGTCCGCGAAGGGTTAAGGTGATGGGAAAGGCGCTGAGAAATTTAATCCAGGTCGATCAATTAAAATTCATATGTACCCTTTTGGGTGGTAACGTCATTTTGAGTACTCGAGTGGTGACATTGGCTGGCAAGTCACGTTGGAAAAAATGCAACATTTGGATGGACCAAGTGTCGATCGCAAGTGACCAGAACTCGAGGGTACAAGACCAAGACCAACGTGGTCTTGCGTTTACTCATCCTTAAGAGACAGCGATGAGCAAAATTGCAAGACCAACACCAAGACTTGACCGTGCAAGACCAAAACTCGAGGGTGAAAGACCAAGACCAACATTGTCTGGCGTTTGCTCATCATTAAGAGATAGCGATGAGCAAAATCGATCTTGATCTTGCAGTGCTGGTCTACGAGTTGCAAAAAATGCAAGACCAAGACTTGCCTACAATTGCAAGATCAACACCAAGAGCAACGTGGTCTCGCGTTTACTCATCATAAAGAGACAGCAATGAGCAAAATCGGTCTTGGTCTTGCAGTGTTGGTCTAGGGGTTGCAAAAATGCAACGCTTGATTAGAATTGCAAGACCAGCACCAAGTGTCAATCGCAGGTGACCAGAACTCGAGGGTGCAAGACCAAGACCAAAGTGATCTCGCATTTACTCATCATTAAGAGACAGCGATGGGCAAAATTGGTCTTCATCTCGCAGTGTTGGTCTAGGGGTTGCAAAAATGCAACGCTTGATTAGAATTGCAAGACCAGCACCAAGTGTCGATCACAGGTGACCAGAACTCGAGGGTGCAAGACCAAGACCAAAGTGGTCTTGCCTTTACTCATCATTAAAAGACAGCGATGAGCAAAATCAGTCTTGATCTTGCAGTGTTGGTCTAGGGGTCGCAAAAATGCAACGCTTGATTAGAATTGCAAGACCAGCACCAAGTGTCGATCACAGGTGACCAGAACTCGAGGGTGCAAGACCAAGACCAAAGTGGTCTTGCCTTTACTCATCATTAAAAGACAGCGATGAGCAAAATCAGTCTTGATCTTGCAGTGTTGGTCTAGGGGTCGCAAAAATGCAACGCTTGATTAGAATTGCAAGACCAGCACCAAGTGTCGATCACAGGTGACCAGAACTCGAGGGTGCAAGACCAAGACCAAAGTGGTCTCGCCTTTACTCATCATTAAGAGACAGCGATGGGCAAAATCGGTCTTGATCTTGCAGTGCTGGTCTACGAGTTGCAAAAAATGCAAGACCAAGACTAAGACCAAGACTTGCCTACAAATGCAAGATCAACACCAAGACCAAAGTGGTCTTGCCTTTACTCATCATTAAGAGACAGCGATGGGCAAAATTGGTCTTGATCTTGCAGTGCTGGTCTACGAGTTGCAAAATATGCAAGACCAAGACTTGCCTACAATTGCAAGATCAACCCCAAAACTCGAGAGTGAAAGCCCAAGATCAACATGATCTCTCTTGCTCGTCACTAGTCATTCTGCAGGGTCCTCTTCGTCGGGAAATGGCGGCTGGCAGAGGTTCATCCATTTCCCGGCCAGAATGTACAATTCCCGTCGAATATCCGATTGCTTTAGGACTTAGGTCCTACCCTCGTGGTGTGCCGAACGAGCGATCGAGGTTCGCGCTACCCAGCGAGAGCTTTCCACGGTAATCCCTTTTCCGAGCTACCTCGGGCGCGCCGTGTAACAGGCAGCGGTGTTTCACCCCGTTTACGGTAAGTCACGGTAATGGCCTCCCTATACGGCACGCGAGACAGTCAAATAAGGTGGAACACGGGGGTGGAGGTCCTGCAGCTTTTGCGCCGAGCGGTACGTCTCTGTCCTTTCCGTCAGCGTTACCGTGACTCATTGCAGCTACATTAACGCGCCTCGCTTTGGTGCCATTACTTCGAGGTGATTACTTTGTGCGTAACTATGTACAAAGTGGGAATGCCGAGCAAGAAACGTGCTAAGCAAGTTTCCGCCTTTGAGACGCATTGTCACAGTTGTTTCACGAATTGCTTCGTAAACTGAAACTTCATTGTTCGATTACATTTGTTCCTTAGTCTTTCGGTAGATTTTTACGCTTTACATTTTGGTGCCATTACGTCAAAGTGATTACTTTGTACGTAACTACGTACAAAGTGGGAATGCCGAGCAAGAAGCGCGCTAAGCAAGTATCTGTCGTCAAGACGCATTGCTACAATTGTTTCACGAATTGCTTCGTAAACTGGAACTTCATTGATCGATTGCATTTGTTTCTTAGTCTTTCAGTATATTTTCACACTTTACATTTTGGTGCCATTACTTCAAGGTGATTATTTTATGCGTAACTATGTACAAAGTGGGAATGCCGAGCAAGAAACGTGCTAAGCAAGTTTCCGCCTTTGAGACGCATTGTCACAGTTGTTTCACGAATTGCTTCGTAAACTGAAACTTCATTGATCGATTGCATTTGTTCCTTAGTCTTTCAGTATATTTTTACATTTTACATTTTGGTGCCATTACCTCAAGGTGATTATTTTGTGCGTAACTATGTACAAAGTGGGAATGCCGAGCAAGAAACGTGCTAAGCAAGTTTTCGCCTTTGAGACGCATTGTCACAGTTGTTTCATGAATTGCTTCGTAAACTGGAACTTCATTGTGCGATTACTTTTGTTCCTTAGTATTTCAGTATATTTTTACATTTTACATTTTGGTGCCATTACTTCAAGGTGATTATTTTATGCGTAACTACGTACAAGGAGAAAATGCCGAGCAAGAAGTGCGCTAAGCAAGTTTCTGTCTTCGAGACGCATTGCTACAATTGTTTCATGAATTGCTTCGTAAACTGGAACTTCATTGATCGATTACATTTGTTCCTTAGCCTTTTGGTACATTTTTACGTTTTGGTGCCATTACCTCAAGGTGATTGTCACACTTGGTTCACGAATTGCTTCGATGAAAATAAGACATTACGTCCGAAGTATGCCCGAAGTACCGAAAAGGTACTTTTCACATTATATATAATATAAATACGAAGTAAATACAAATTGGCCTCTCTTGGACGAGTTTAAACCTCCTTTATAGAAAAGTACGGTGGAGTACGTTTCACCGAGAAGAGAATTTCCGAGGACGTATAATTGGAGGTTAACGTACCCCTTGAATACTTCTCCATAGAACTTTTCCGCCAGTTTCGATTTTTATCCTTCATTGAATATGCGCGCTTCCACGGGCTTTTTCAAAAGAGATGCATTGTGGAAAGGTTTCGGTTTCATCTCCCACGTGGTCGAGATCGCACGGTGCTCGATATCGGAAAGTGGCAGCGAATCGTTCAAGGGGGCTTCAATATGGCGCCTGAGCGAAAACCTCGGGGGTGTATAAATCCACATGCGACTTTTCTCCACTCCTAACGTAATCCCACGTATAAAATTCGGCATATTTGGGCTCGCGCCAAAGAACCGCCGTATTTCGTCGCCACTCTGGGAAAGTGGGTCTACTCTTCCTCTACATTCGAGTTCGATCGATCGAATCCGCGTCGGAAAGCACGCGTCCCCATGGTGGAGAGATTTTCCACGGGGTGCAGGAACCCTTTTTTTATCATATGGATGCATATGTCAATTTGGATATTACAAAAAATATCAGACATCAGCTGTTAAGGTGATGTGAATGTGGCGTTAAAGATGTCGGGTTTATGAAACTTGCGTGCATATATTAATTTGGATATTACAAAAAATATCAGACATCAGCTGTTAACCTAACGTGGCGTTAGAGATATCTGATTTATGAAACTTGCATGCATATATCAATTTGGATATTATAGAAAATATCAGACATCAGCTGTTAAGCTAATGTGGCGTTAGAGATGTCTGATTTATAAAATTTGCATACATATATCAATTTGGATATTATAGAAAATATCAGACATCAGCTGGGTGATATGAATGTGGCGTTAAAGATGTCTGATTTATGAAACATGCATGCATATATCAATTTGGATATTACAAAAAATATCAGACATCAGCTGTTAAGGTGATGTGAATGTGGCGTTAAAGATGTCTGATTTATGAAACTTGCATGTATATATCAATTTGGATATTATAAAAAATATCTGACATCAGCTGTTAAGGTGATGTGAAAGTGGCGATAAAGATGTCTGATTTATGAAACTTGCATACATATATCAATTTGGATATCATAAAATATATCGGACATCAGCTGTTAAGGTGATGTAAAAGTGACGTTAAGATGTCTGATTTATGAAACTTTTCTCTTAACTGGGTGTACCGAATCATTACAAACTTCCCAATGTAATTGTGAAAACTATAAGGAAAGTCATCTTATCACCTTATCACCTTAAGGTGATAGGAAAGGGTCACAAATGTTATTAAAAATTAAATATCACGAACACCACGTTCTTCCTAAGGGTCTCCATAATCACGTGTTAACTTTGTAAATGTTTCGGTGTTGGAGAAAAGCTTTATAAATATTTTCACGTTCTGATATATAGAATGACCCTTTCATATTACCTTAATCTCTTGTTTGATAATGTTTAATAACGGCCATGCCGGGTAACTTAGGTACGATTATCTCGTGAAAAACTGCCGACGAGGGGGGTAAGAGCATTGCAGAAGATGTGAAGTTTCCAGTTGTCTGCAAAG